GCAAGTGAAGAAGGCTAAGGTTTTTTAAGGTGAAGGAGGGTTTAGAGGCTAATGATGAATCACAAAGCTGACTAACACTTAGCGCAAAACTGATCCGACCACATCTAACTACTCTCCAGCCACATGATGGGTGCTTAACACCTCATATCAATCCACACAAGGTAAACCCTAAGTCTACCTTCTAAAAAAGAATTTGACCAAAAGTCAACCTAAGCCAAAGTTAATGGTCAAAGTCAAAAGTCAACACCCCATAAGTCAACCTGATTACCCTTGGTCACGTCGTGAGAGCTCACTTTGTTTGATTCCAACTCATATCGACTCAACCAAGCCAAATTAGTCAAGGAAGGTCACCTTAGCTAACCTCATGACGTGAGCATCCTTTTCTCACATCGTGAGCCCTAAGAAGCTCGTTAGAAATGGGATCATCCGATCCTCACGTTGTGAGCAGAGTTTGAAGCCAAAAACTCAACATTTAAGTCCTTAATCCATTAAGCTTTGACATCTAACTTTCCAGAAGGTCTTATAACTCTATAATACATTTGAAAGTCGATGCTTTTAAGACATATATGTCCAATACATGTCTAGATCGAATTTGGGTCAAAAATTGAAGAAAAGGAAATCCAACTTTCATTCAAGGTTCCAAAACCTAGCCATTCACTATATCTGAACTCCATAACACTCTTAAGGCCCTTATAACCCATAAAGTTGCCAAGTTTATGGTTTCCATTCATTCACACTTACTCAACCAAGGAGGAAAACTTAGATCTAGCCACAAATAATAATAAAGGAGGAAGCTTTGACAGTTACAAGGGTCCAAAATCAATGTAAGGTGATGATGATGATGATGATTCCTTGCAAGCCTATTCAATATCACCTTAATCTTCTTCTTCACCTCTTCTCCAAACCAAGAATTGCTCCAAAATGGCCAAGAATCAAGCAAGGGATGAAAGCTAGGGTTTTCTGAGGTGAAAGAGGGTTTGGAGGCTGATGATGAATCACAAAGCCGACTAAAACTGAATTCAAAATCGAGGTGACCACAACTAACTGCTCTCCAGCTAAACGATGGGTGCTTAACGTCTCATATCAATCCACACAAGGTAAATCGTAAGTCTACCTTTTAAAAATAGAATTTGACCAAAAGTCAACCCAAGCCAAAAGTTAATGGTCAAAGTCAAATTCAACATCACATAATGTCAACTATCCATCCTCACGTTGTGACCAGCCCTTGGTCATATCCTGAGAGCTCACTCGGTCTGATTCCAACTTATGTTGACTAAACCTAGCCAAATCAGTCAAGGAAAGCCATCTGAGCTATCCTTACGACATGAGCAGCCTTTTCTCACATCGTGAGCCCTAACAAGCTCATCAGAAATGGGATCATCCAATCCTCACATTGTAAGACCCTATGTCTCACTCCGTGAACACAGTTTGAAGTGAAAAACTCAACATTTAAGTCCTTAATACTTTAAGTTTTGATCTTTAACTTTCCAGAAGGTCTTATAACTTTATAATACATTTGAAAGTCGATGCTTTTAAGACATATATGTCCAATACATGTCTAGATCTCATTTGGGTCAAAAATTAATGAAAAAAACATCCAACTTTCATGCAAGGTTCCAAAACCCAACCATTCACTAGATCTAAAATCCATAACACTCTTAAAGCCCTTATAACCCATAAAGTTGCCAACTCTGTGGTTTCCATTCATTCAAACTTGCTCAACCAAGGAGGAAAGTGGAACAAAACTTAGATATAGCCACAAATAACAATAAAGGATGAAGCTTTAACATGTACAAGGGTCCAAAAACAATGTTTGGTTATGATGATCATGATTCCTTGCAATCCTTTTCAAAAGATCACCTTTTTCTTCTTCTTATCTTATTCTCCAAACCAATAATTGCTCCAAAATGGCCAAGAATCAAGCAAGTGATGAAGGCTAGGGTTTTCTAATGTGAAAGAGGGTTTGGAGGTTAATGGTGAATCACAAAGCTGACTAACACTCAACTCAAAACCAAGCCGACCACATCTAACTGCTCTCCTGCCGTATGATGGATGCTTAACACCTCATATCAATCCATATAAGGTAAACCCTAAGTCTACCTTCTAAAAAAGAATTTAACCAAAAGTCACACAAGACAAATTCAACAGACAAAGTCAAAATTCAACATCACATAATGTCAACTATCCATCCCCACATCGTGACCAGCCCTTGGTCACGTCGTGAGAGCTCACTCGGTTCGATTTCAACTCATCTCGACTCAACCTAGCGAACGCAGTCAACGAAAGTCACTTGAGCTGATCTCATGACATGAACAACCTCTTCTTAAGTCGTGAGCCTAAAGAAACTCGTCAAAAACGGGAAGATCCAATCGTCACATCGTGAGACCCTATGTCTCAGACCACAGTCTGAAGCCAAAAATTCTACATTTAAGTCCTTAATCCATTAAGCTTTGAACTCTAACTTTTCCAGAAGGTCTTATATAATACACTTGAAAGTCGATGCTCTTAAGACATATATGTCCAATACACGTCTAAATCTCATTTGGGTCAAAAATTGAAGAAAATGACATCTAACTTTCATGCAAGGTTACAAAACCCAACCATTCACTACATCTGAAATCTATAACACTCTTAAGGCCCTTATAACCCATAAAGTTGCCAACTCTATGGTTTCCATTCATTCAAACTTGCTCAACCAAAGAGGAATGTGGGACAAAACTTAGATGTAGCTACAAATAACAATAAAAAAGGAAGATTTAACACTTACAAGGGTCCAGAAACAATGTTAGGTCATGATGATGATGATGATTCCTTGCAAGCCTCTTCAAAATATCACCTTCTTCTTCTTATTCTTATTCTTATTCTTTTTTTTCTTCTTCTTCTTCTTCTCCAAACCAAGAATTGCTCCAAAATGGCCAAGAATCAAGAAATTGATGAAAGCTAGGGTTTTCTAAGGTGAAATAGGGTTTGGAGGCTGATAATGAACCCTAAAATAGGTTTAGTGGTGCTTAAATATGAAGGAAACCCTAAAAAATCAATGGTTTAGGCTACATCAGTTCTCACATCGTGAGTCTCTATGTCTCATGTCCTGAGACCAATCCCAAACAAAAGTTTTCATCTTAGCCCATCTCACATCGTGAGCCTCTATATCTCATGTCATGAGGTTCATTTTCTTCCAAAATCCAACCTTTTGACTCTTTAAAACCCTAATTCGATTCATCCAAGAAAACAGATGTTACAAGTTCTTCACTTCATGTTGAGCTGAGAGAAGAAAGAGAATGTATCAAATAAGAAAAAGTTAGGTTGGAGCGGGGGTAACCGCGAAGGGGTGGTTGTTTTTTTTTTCTTTTTTATAAATTATAAATAAGACAAATGATAAGTAAATAAAAAAGAAATTGATAAGGGCAATATAGTCATTCTAAGTCAAATAGGAACCAAATATGCAACAAAAACAAATAATAAGGATCGGTCGAGTTAAAAAAACTTTGTTAATGACCAACCACACAGATTACTCTAAACCATAGGGACCATTCGTGTAATTTAACCAAAATTAAATTAATACACATCTATTAGACTGACGTGTGGCAAATTATTAATAAGGAGATGTATTAGACTGACATATAACAACACAAAACTTTTCTTTTATTAATATAGGAAGATTTAGTTTGATATAAATATGTTTTTATCTATTAATATCTTTATATCTGTTAGAAAGTATTCGATTTTATCCTTATTATAGATTTTCTAGGTTACTATGATATTAAGTTAGGTAAATATCATATAAATCATTAAGTTTTCAAGTTTTTATTTGAAAAAGCATTGTTTTATTCTTTTTTTTTTTTTCAGAAAAACAATCAATCATATTTCTTACAGTTTTCATAAAAAAACAGATAAAAAAGTTCGAAAAATATCATTTTTTTTTTTAATTTCATTAAATCTCAAATTATGTTTCTTATCGCATCGAATATATGTAAGAATACATGTAAGAGACAGCTAAAACCCTAGTAAAACATCGCATCATCAAAAAAGGTATTAGGGGTTTATACATTCATCGGGTGTTGTTAATTCAACCAAATTGTGTTAGATTCTTTCAACAGTTGATCCCAGATTATACTTCGAATTTAATCAAAATCATTACATATCACTCAATGCTTTTGCTTAAAATGGCATATTAAGTCCAACAAGCAAAAAAGCTTGGGTGTTACAACTAGAGAATGGATGTGGAAAAGCTTCAACATCATACTTGTAGATGCTACAAAGAAACCCGTAATTACCAAATAAGGAAATTTAAATTTTATTATATGGACAATTTTCAAGATACAAACGGATGACAGAGAAATGGGATCTGAATGTTTGTGTTGAAGGACCAAAGGTGATTTTATTTCTCGTATTTACATTCAACATTTATTAAGTATAAAACTATCATTAAACACTCCATCCACACTTGATATGTGCAAGCTTTTGGGTGTAGCACGCTGCACGTATGACAAGGAGAAAAAAACAAAAATGACCTTGTTTCAGTGTTATTTGGTCCAAATTTTTGAAAAGCAATGTATTAAATTCTGGTGAAAAACTGCAATAATATGTATAAACGGTTTTTTTTTTTTTGGTACAAGAATAATTCCCAACTAATGAACCAACCCACCTTGGTGTGGTGGCCCAGAATCTAAACACGAGACCCATAAAATACGTGGCAAACTCTGTGGAGCCAGACATGTAAGGTTTGTAATTTTGGTTTGTTTCTCAAACTAGTTTCTCAACTCTGAATGAAGTAAAATACCAGTTTCGTCACACTCACACACTAATCTCAACTTCTCTAAACTAAAGCCATATTAATTAATAAAGGAAAAAACTTTTTGTAGTGTATTTGACATTCCTTGTTTGTATTGATGTTAACTGATGTGCAATAATGATGTAATGCCTCGTCATTAATAATATAATAATAATAATAATAATATTTATAAAAAAAAAAAAAAAAAAAAAAAAAAAAAAAAAAAAAACATGCATCTAAGCAAACAAGGTACAAGACGTAGCAAATATTTGACAAACATTTTGTGCTCTCACATGACACAACAATTGCGGCGTCTCATGCTCAAAAACAAACCAACTGCAGTTGCGGTATCTGAAGTAAGAAATCCTCAAAAACGTATAAAGAAAAAAAATAATAATAATAAAAACCACCCATCAAAGCTTTAATGTTTCAAGAAAAGCAAAGAGATTGTGAGATTAGCAACCAATTTGACAAACAATTTGCATTTGCATATGATATAACAACCCTCCCTCCCTTCCCTTCACCTTTTGGCTATAATCGCTTTGCTGGGCAGCGGGTACCAGCAACAAAGCCTTCCGTGTAGGCTGTATTTTTAAACATCGTCTGAAACACCAAAGTCCAAACCAAATAATAACTATTTATTTATTTAACTAAGGGGTTAATTGCAAAAAATAAAATAGCAACATAATTTGATTTTCATAGCATCATCCTACACTAGTTTTTTTTTTCTTCTGATTACATCACAGCATTGTACCAAATTATATTTCCAAATACAAAATATATTGGGTAGATTCTAAAAGTCAGATAGATGCCTAGATGATTGATTATACAAGGTGGGGTCCAGTTTCTGCAACACTCTATTAGATTATTACAGACCAGCATTGTACTTTCATGAATCGAGTCTAGTATAACTATAACTATAACTAACTAACTAACTAACTAACTAACTATATATATATATATATATATATATATATATATATAACTAACTAACTAACTAACTAACTATATATATATATATATATATAACTAACTAACTAACTAACTATATATATATATATATATATATATATATATATATATATATATATATATATATATATATATATATAAATGGGTGTTGAAACTAGGCTTTCCCTCCTTTTACATATTTTTATTCTACCATTTCATCATTTCTCTTAACATAATTTATATGGGTTTTAAAGAGAACGAACAAAGAAAGGAACATACACAAGAATACAATTGATCATCAAGTTTATGTAGCAACAGATAGCAGATTAATGTGACTCAATTTTTGACACATGCTGATTGATGTCAGGGGAAGAAAAACAACACTTGTTAAGTTACTTCTTATTGCATTAATAATGACAATGTTACACCTATTAATAACATGGCCAAGATTGAGTCTCTAGAAAGGAATCAATGGGACAAAACTGGCAATTTGTTGTCCCAACCAAACAAAAGACATGAATGCCCCCATCTCATATCATCAATATATATGTAGGTGATCTCAAGCTAAATGAGTAGAGTCGCGTTAATAATGTGAAGCAATTCATCATGAACAAGACTAGGATCAAAATGCCTAATTTTTTCATCAGCCTTGTACTACTCGTATGGACTAGCAATAGAGTTAAGTAGCATTTGGGTTTGGTATTTATGATGATTTCCTCCATTTTGTTAAATTTTTCATGAGCCTGAGCCTTTAAAGACACAATGCATCCAAGCTTAGGTGTAGAAGAAGATCCACTCTTAAAAGACTAAAAAAATCACCATTTCGATTAAGTTGCGTGTGTCTATGTATACTTGTCATGCAAAACTAAGTTGCTAGTGCTAGATAGACATGGACTGATAGAAGACAAGTAGAGAAAGAAACACTGACAGCTAGGTTTTTCAGCTCCAAGCTAAGATTCTTCTTTAGATGGCTGGATACCAGTTGTTCCCCATCCCCATGCTGCTTAATGTTTTGATCTTTCATCTGCATGAATTTTTTACATCTCAAGATAGATAGATAGATAGATAGAGTTAAAGAGTTTATTAGAGAGAGAGAGAGAGAGAGAGAGAGAGAGAATAGTAGTAGTACCTCAGAAAGAACAATGGCTGATGCTTTCTCTACTATCTCTTGAATAAACTTTTCAGGATCAGCAAAAGAGTTTGCCATTATCTCCTTCTTGGAAACCTTTGATGCTTTGGCTACATTATCAGCCACATAAAAAGATCAAAAGGTTAACAAAATCTAAAACTTTCCAGGATCAGCAATAACAAGCATCAATATATATATATATATATATATATATATATATATATATATATATATATATATATATATATATAACTTCTATTGAATAGTCAGTCAGTCACATCTAAGAATTGTAACAATACCAGTAGCAGAGACTGGCTTGCTGTCAATCTTCAAAGAAGCTGTTTTCTCCATAACATCTGTTATTATGCGTGAGGTGTTGTCAGATGGAACTAAAGCAGCTAAATCTGGAGGTTGATCCTTCCCTACACAAGGATTAGCCTAAAAACAACAATTACTTAGAATCAAATTATTAAGTAAGATAATAACCAATCTTTTCTTACCTCAAGATCAACATATGCAACCATTCTTCCTTCTGACTTGAGAAACTTTTCAAGATCCTGTATGTGAAGGGCTGCAACCAGAAACATCGTGACACTTATAAGCCTAAAATTTTTAAAAATGTGAAGCATCTTGACACTTACAGATGGTTGTATCGTTGGAGAGTGGATGGAAGAAGCAGCACTCCTGAGTTTTGAAACCTTGATCCAACAACAACGAAACATTCCTTCACAAATCATATTAACAAAACAACTGCTATCAGAATCCAGTATTTAACAAATATTTATGGTCTTATTACACTATTAAAACAACCCAACTCACTTAGCTGACTCATTCACAAGTGCAAATGGAGTAACACAGCCTAAAGGCACCTGGAAAAATATTACTCACCAATAAGTGTAACTAATCAATGTAAAAGATATTTGAGAAAAACGACAGATGGAAGGACCATAAATGAAGGCAGGTTTGTAAAATGTTAAGCTTCCTTTCCCTATATTTCTCTATGATTTAGTTATTTCTGCAATAAGTCAAAAAAAATCATCTATAGAGTAGTTAAAACGCATTTGGGAACCTGAAGTATTTCTACAACTGCTTCTTCAGGTGCCATTCTCACCCCTCCTTTTCCAAGCCCAAGCCTTTGAGATAGAACTGCTCAGCTTCAAAGCCACAATGAGTGTTATAAAAATCCAGAAAAAAAAAAAAATACAAAGTGTTATATTAATGACTTTTGCAATAATATAAAACTAAAAAAACTGTATCTCCCTCTATCCCTAAACTGTACTCATGTTATTCTTTTTGGTCCTTAATCTGAAATTCAAATTTTGTTTTATGAATATGCTTTCAAGACAGAAGGGTGCTTTGACTAGTGGTCAAAACTTATATTAACAGAACTAAATGCAAGAAATAGCAACATACTTTCATTTATTTGTGTATTATATTTATATTATAGCATCTTACTTTCATTTCATTGTATTATAAGATTCTACATCCATTTTTTCCTTATTAAGGCACTCTACTCTACTTTGAAAACTTTCTTACTAGGATATCGATGGCATTGCCATAACTTAGTAGACTTTTCAAATTACAATATGAAGAAATGAAAGTAGTTTGCTATACTAAACAAATCAATGGAAGAAGTAGTTGACTTGTTTCTTGTTGCATTAATTTTAACCAATATTAAGATGTGATGTGACAGAGGAAGTATGGTGTCCAAAACAACAAGGATAAGAAAGCAACCGAATGTCAGAGCAAACTAACCTTTTAGGTCTACTGTGGTATCAGCCAAGGCTGAAACAATATAAAGTCTGTGCTTCTTATCCTATATATACATATGCATTAATTAGATAGAACACAAAATGATACTATATCATATGGCAATCCAAAACCAAAATATTTGAATATAATACCTTTAGGAATAAGTTTTTACTCAATCCACCTTTGATATGTCCAACATACTTGGCCTTATAGAAAAGATAGACAAACAAAACAAAATAAAGAAAATTGCAATATTTTGTTACAGAGAACATGATTCTGATTTTGAAGTGCGTTTTGTAGGCAAAAATTGCAATATTTTGTCCTATCTACCCAGAAAATGCAAAAGACATTAATGCCCATTGAAAATGTCCCCAGAAAGCTTTGTCCAGTTCAGTTATGTCTCATGTAAAAAAACGCAGCCTTTGTATTGCATTAGATTTAGTTACCTGGGCTTCAACAGTCATCACTACAGGATGCTCATACTGCGAAAATTTTATCTGTTGAGCCTGATACAATACATACAATGGATGTGTTATTGCTTAAAGAATATAACAAGTGATAAGATCCACCAACAACCATACTTAAAACTAGTTACAAATGTTAAATAGTCAGATCATGATCACACTCAATGGGAAACAAAACCTAATTTATCAGGAGAAAACTTAATGCGAAAAAACTAATAATAATAATAGAGAAAGAAAATAATTTCATTGTCGTTGATGCACTTGCTTGGAAAGGGTGACAATTTTCTTCAACTTTGAATAAAATTCAATTGATTGACATGAGTTGAAATGGCTTAACTAGTCCTTGCATAACTTTTCTGAATATAATCCAGATGGTGGCGAAATTTGTTTCCTAGGGGGCAATTCAGGGAAAGATTATCACATGGAAAATGGATATAGGTCTTGTTACTAGCTCACGCCCAATAGTAGTCGATCTCTAATACTAGCTACGAAGTTTTGAGGTTGTAAATGAGTAAGCGAAGCTCTCACTCACGAGACTCGAACAAAAACACACTAATGAATCATAATATAAAGTGCAAACATATACGACCATGAAGATAGAACCTTAAGTTGTTTGATCTTGGACAACTTTTTTGGCAAATTAATAATGGCTGTTGCTTTTTCATTGCTTCAACGTGGGATTTTAAACCCAAATTTATTCGAAACTTTATCAATCGATAGTAAAATTAGAATTGGACGACGAAGTTGATGAATCCAGAAGATTACGCATTTTGTTAGAAATGCCAGAAGAAAAATCGAACCTGTAAGCGTTCAAGAAGTTGCCCTTTCGAAAAACCCATCTCTCCGAATTTTGTAGACGCCGCAACCCCAGGGAGAGACTGAAATGCAACAACCTGTAATACTCGCTTTGCTTGACCCAAAAACTTGGAAAATGTAGGTTTGGGTGGTAACTCATAAAACCCTAATCCTAAACTATATTTGTTATTTGCATCCGTATTTTTTTAATTAGTTTTTAGCAATACCAATTTTTTTCTAGGTATATAACAATTTGTGATTTAAAGTGTTGTATTTTATAATTTTATAATGTATAAATTATTGTGTATGGCAAAAAAAACTATTGTGTACGAATCACTTCCCAAATAAAAATCAATAAGGTGTTGTTTGGTTCGCAGAATGTTGCTGAAGGAATTGGAAAATGAATCTGTCATGAATTTAAATTCAATTTCATATATTGTTTGGTTGGCTGGAAATGGAATTAGAATTAATTTTAGATTCTGTTTAGTTTGCGGGAAATGGAATTGAAATTCATGTAAAATGACAGAATTGCCCTTTTATCTATTTTGCTTAATTTTACTTTGTTTTTAGGTTATATGTAAACATGTATTATATAAATTATTGAAATAGTAAAATTTTAATTTATTGATTGAACATTCATGCAAACATATTATGAAAATCATGTTAATAAACATCATAAGTTAAAGTCATTCCACTTTATATCATAATAACGTTACCAAAAAGCATATCAATATTTCGATACATCCCTATCGAAGATACCAAAAACTTACAAATCCAAAATACCAAGCAACATCAAAATAAACATCATTAACAAGAGGAGTACAACAATGTGCAAAACCACGTTCCACCATTTCAAAATCAATGAATTTTGTCTTTGTCTACGATTATATGTTGTTAAACTAGGGAGGGATATTTTCCTGTGCATACAAATTCAGATCATAATTCAGAGTGTACACAACACCATTTAATTTTAACAGTTGCTGAAGTTAAAAGAAAAAAAAAAGATGAACAATTTGATTCTCAAATTTAATTTGATTTTCACATTTGAATCAACAGAAAACATTTGAATCAACAAAAAAACAGATCATATTCTATTGTCTACGATATTAGTGATAAAACTAAAAAGGAACAAACTTGATTTTCACTAAAATCGATTTTCTGGAAATCGAAAAGAGAAGTTCGGTGTAAAACAACAGAAAACAAAAAACAATTGGATACATGTTTCAAAAAATTGCTCTTCACTGAATAAAAATAGATAATCGATTTTCCTATAATCAGCTTTTCAATACAACAAACAATGGGTAGAATCAAGATTACGAGGGGGAGAGAGAGCGCGCCAGAGAGTGACAGCGAGAGAAATCACGATTAGGAGTTGTATCGATACACATACCTGGCGAAGAGATGGAGAACGAGTTGCGTTTGATGAAGCCTGCAATTCGATTTTGATGAAAAAATGAAGAAGACGAGCACATTGTGATGTTGGCTGTGATGAGGTTGAGTCCGATTTTGAGGAAGACGTTGTGATAGGGTTTTTGTTTTTAGAAGGGTTTTGTTAAAATAAAAGGGGTATAATTGTAAAATTTCACTTTCCTAGATGGTATAGATTTATTTCCATCAATTTGTTGAAGGAATGTAGTTTCCAATGTATGAAGGAATGTTTTCCTCATTTAGGATTTTCTTTCCTTCCTTAAGTTGAACCAAACACAAGAATTCGAGGGAATTAAAATCATTTTCCTTCAAATTTCAATCATTTCCTACCAACCAAACGCACTCTAACAGTTATTTATTTATTTATATTATTTATTTTTAATTTAATATATATTTTAATATAATTTACAAAATTTATAAAATAATTTTTTAAGAGTTTAGAAAGTTTCATTTATTATAATAACTTAATATAAACCTTTTATATAAAAAAAAAATTGTCTATAAAATACTAACAATGATATATTCTTTTTGTTTATAAATTTCAATTCATAACTATTTAAATAATTTTCTTTAGTTTTTTTTTTTTTTTTTTTTTTTGAAGTGAGTTAATACTTAAGTTACATATTTATTAAAATATCTTGCTTTTTTAAAAAAACCAATCCAACTCAATTGTAATTTGGTTGAATTGGATCAAATTAGAATTTAGTTTTGTTTATTTAAATCCATATTTTGAAAACTAAAATCAATTTGGAGTCATTAGATTGGATCAACTCGAATTTATCCAAACGAACACTCCTAGCATGTGGTAACAAACAAACATTTGCAACATTCGTATCATTAGATTTTTAGGTTTAAAAAGGGAATTTTGGCTTAAATGGAAGATTGAAGCAATAAAAATGTCATTATTTAATTTTAAATGAGGACAATTAAGTCGTTGAACTTTCATTATTGCTCTCATTTTCTTGTATGACCTTTTATTCTTGGTTTTGCCCATTACCTTCAAGACTTTTGACTTAATGACCATTCGAGTTACAAAAAATCAACATTTTGTCATTTAAGTTCAAATCATCACCATTAAGTCTAATACCAAATGATCACCATACATGAAGATGGTGATAAGCTTCGATGGACTCCCTTATCTTTTATACTTCACCTTTGTGTTCCCTTCTGTTACTGACCACATTCACCATCATTGAAAAGTCAATTGTGTAACGACCCAAAATACGATCCAAAATTATTTGTTTAAATAATACTAAGGTTATCAACGATTTATAATATATCATAAAATCGTACATCATAAATCCCACAAAGTTATAATAGATGTGCCATAACAAAAGAACTGTAACAACATAACATAGTATCTAAAATAAACTCCCAGGACAAAAGTTGAAGCTGTGGTGTGTGCAATGCCATCGTCCCGAGCTCTTCCCTTTGCTTGCGGAAGTACCTGAAACCAAAACCGAAATTGTAAGCACAAAGCTTAGTGAGCTCACCCCAGACTACCACATACCATACGATAACATATAAACACATATTGGGCCTTGCCCACTGCATCGGACCGAAGTCCAGAAACTGCATCGGACCGAACTCCGAAAATAACCAGGGTTTTGCCCTCTGCATCGGACCGAAGTCCGGAACTGAATGGGACCTTATCCCCTGCATCGGATCGAAGTCCGGAACTAACTGCATCGGATTGAAATTCGGAACTGATTGGGACCTTGTCCCATGCATCAGACCGAAGTCCGGAAACTATCTGAGCATAACATAGCATAACATAAACATATCAACTAGTGTAAACACATATATTGCATATTGCATCGAACCGAAGTTTGTAACACATAAAACAAGGACATGCTTGAATCACAAAGACATCAAGCACACTGAACTACTACATCGAACCAAAGTCCGAAACTACTGCTAACTAGGCAGGTCGGCATTGTGGCCGTAGACCCGTTCCTACTGGAAGGAAAACTCACCTCGTAGTGCTGGCTGCTGAGATGCTAACTCTAAAAGTGGCTGATTGTTGCTCCGGAGCTGACCGACTACACATCCCAAAAACACTAGATCAGTTACTTGTAAATGCCCTCAGGGTAAAATGACTATTTTACCCCTGGTTAAAGTCAACTCCATGATCAAAGTCAACTTCCAGTTGACCGGACTCGCCGAGTCAGGGCGCAGACTCGCCGAGTCCCTCCTTTACTAACTCTGACTTTAATTCACCGAGCCCCTTTCCCACTCACTGATTCATTCTAAACTCACAACTCGAAGGGAAAACGGGGACTCGCGAATCGACTCGTTGAGTCCAAAGAACAACTCGCCGAGTCCTATCGCATATTCCATACAATCGAACTCTAATCTATTCCAGGGCCTCTAACTCGTAGATCTGAGCCCTTGGGACCATCTAAACATGTAAAGTTGTTTACTTTACGTGTAACTACGAAGGAATGAAGCCATTTCACTCAAACACTACTTTCTCGGGAAAAACTCATCTGAATCGCCAAGTTGTAGAACAACTCGTCGAGTTTAAGGCAATCTTCATCAGACTCGCCGAGTTGCTCATCCAACTCGTTGAGTCCATGGCTATCTTCATATGACTCATCGAGTCAAGCGTGTGACTCACCGAGTCCATTCAGTCCCTTTTCCATACAGACTTGATTTGAGCCATGCAATGACTCCAAGTCACAGATCCAAGCTTCTAGGGCATGCTTATCACGTAAAGTTGCAAACTTTACATGCATGCATGACTTTAAAGGCTTAAAATGTCAAAACTAAGCTCTTAATGGGGTTCTAAGCTCAAGAGGGACCTCAATCATGGCCATAGCTGAAACTTTACACTACTAGAATGCAATGAGGGTCCAGATCTGAAGTATGACCCAAACATAAGGCTTAATCATAAAGGATTTGGGGTTTTTGAGTTTAAAAGCAACAATTTGTGGACAAAAAAGATCTTATAGATCAATAAACACGATGGAGGCTTTATTACCAGAAAAGATGACCACAACTGAGTGTGCTTTGGATCTACTTCCTCTTCTTTGAACTCTTTAATCTTCTCCTTCTTCTACTTGCTCCAAAAATTCCTTCACAAAGCAACAATCACTCACACACTCAAAAAGGGGGCTAGGGTTTGGTAAGAGATGATCTGAGAGTGATAGAGTCGAGGTTAGGGCGTTTAAGTATGTTTAAATAGGGTGCAAACCCTTAAATTAGGGCTTCACCCAGACAGGCGGACTCGCTGAGTCCAGCGTATGGACTCGCTGAGTTGCTAGCTTAACTCACATGACCAACCCGTCTTCTACTCGATGATTCGGGCTACAGACTCGTCGAGTACCCCTCAAGAAATGAAAAACTTAATTAAATCACATACCAGAAACGGAGCGTTACTACTATCCCCCACTTATCTTAGACTTCGCCCTCGAAGTCTGCTGCTGCGGCTGAATCTGAAAATGACTCTGGATAATGCTCACTCATCTCCCCCTCGGACTCCCACGTCCACTCTGAACCCCTTCGGTGCTGCCACTGCACCTTCACCAACTGAACCACCTTGTTCTTCAAGGTCTTTGTATTTTGATCTAGGATTGCAACTGGTCTCTCAATATAATTCAGGCTGTTATTAACCTGAATGTCCTCCAAGGGTATAACTGTCGCCTCGTCCACTAAACACTTTCTCAACTGATAACACATGGAAAGTGTTGTGGATCTGGCTAAGCTCTGCCGGAAGATC